TAGGTTCAACCCAGCTTTCTTTTGATCCCACTCCTCCAATTAAATCAGTTTTCAGTACCTAAAGCCATTCCAGTGCTCTGGTGTGGTGCCAAGAGCTCCATTCCTTATTCTTCTAAATGGCTAAAGGAATTGCAGTCCATATGTTTACAACCTGCCCTGATCTTGAGGACAGAAACTGCATCATAGTCTTTTTCTATTTTTTAATATTGCCTGAAACATGTTTTATTTACTTTCATCTTTGAAAAAGATCTGCTTCCCCTTCAAGGATCCCACTGTCTTCTATAGTTACCCCTACTCCACCTAGTCTCCCATCTCTGCACAATCCCATTATATAAGGCCTTCTTCTCAGCCAGAGATCATGGTTGGAAAGGAATCAGCTAAACTCTGTGTGAAGATGTTAGCTTATTACAGCTTAAAGCATTTCCTCTCTCCAGCAAATGGGCTAAGGAACTCATTTAACACCAAATAAAACCTCTAAAAATCAAAGCTATGTTGTGGATAAAATACTAGAGACCTAAGGAAGGAGAAGTAGAGAAAGGGAGAGATTTTATGAACAGGGGTTCTATTGATCACCCCTCAGACATCCTTAATAGGCAGCTACCAATTCTGAAAATTTCTAACACGGAGCTTCCCTACAGAGTTGCGAGCCAATTCCCTCAGACTCCATCTTGAATAGTTTGAGGTTGAATAGGGTAGACATCCAGCTGGAGGTGTGTGAATGTCTCCCCTGAGTTTGAGTGTTTCTACATCTCCCCCACTGACCATCTTTTGGGTATTTCACTTCTATGAGAGGCCCTCTCACTGGAGGCAGAGACTTGAGAGTCAACACCACCATTCTCCTTGATATTTTCTAGGTCACTGCAACTCTGTAACAAGGTGAGGGAAGATGATAAAAATCAATAAAGATTTAGATTTCATACCCTTGCAATTCCAACCCCAGTACTGATGTTGAGCCGTACGAAGTAATCGGAAAGACTGGGACTCTGAGCAACTTTCTGGCTAATGAATGAGTCTTTGGGAAATCTTTTAACATCTCTGAGCGTTCATTCTAAATGATCACTTGGGATAATGAATACAAGAAATCCTACTTTAACACACAAGGAGGATGAAGGCCAAATGAATACTAGCTGTAAAAATGTTTTGAAAGGCATTAAATGCTTCACAAAGATATGAATTTCAATCTTATCTTTGTAAAACACATAAAGAAATAAATAACACTGAAAAGCATTGGAGTATTTTTTAATTCCCTTTGTGTCAGAGACTAAATTTTCATCAGTATTAATTTTTACAGGTTCTTTGATAACAGTGCCCCACACTTATCAAGGCACCTGACAATGAAGAAAAGATATTTTCTAGACTTCTATGCAGCTAGATGTGGCTAATGTTCCAGTCTATAAGATGGGACTGGAAGGAGTATGTGTAACTTCCTTCCACTTCCTTGCTAGTACCTTAAATGGAACAGGATGGCAGGAGCTACAGCAGCCATCGTGGACCATGAGATGGATGCTGTGGATCAGAATGAAAATGAAGTAGGAGGACTTGCGTTTCTGGTAATATCCATATGACAGCAATCACACCAGTTTGTGTTAAGTGAGAGAGAAATAGCTCCAATCTTATTTAGGTAACTATTATTTTGAGTGTTTGTGTTAAGACATTCAAATTGGAATCCTACCCTATATACTTACTATTTGTTTTCCAATGGCCTATACCCACCTCCTTGCTAGGTCTATCTGGTAGACTTTTCCCACAATATTTATCCTCTCTTCACTCAGACCTTTGAAAATGTTACTTTAAAAGTTTAATCGAACCTTTGATCAAACTACTTATCACAAAATTATCTCCTTTAAATGAGAAGAAACACATCTTTATAACTTCCAATAACACATAATTTCTTCAATATTGTCTGACATATTGTTAAGGTTATCAATTTTTTCTTCAGTTACCAATAGTAGGCTGCCAAAAATGAGAGGTAGACAAAAATAGTGGGAATGTTAGTTCTTAATAAAATGTAAACACACATGTGTGCACATATGAAGACGCACACATCCATCCCTGTCTGCTTCCCATAATGGCCATTGCAAGAGAAGGGAAGGAATGTCTGCCTGGAATTTCAGGGGTTTACGTGATGTGGAATTCTCTAGGGATCTTCCTCCCTCCCTCCCTCCTTCTCTTCCTTCCTTCCCTCTTTTCCTCCTTTCTCTCTCTCTCTCTCTCTCTCTCTCTCTCTCTCTCTCTCTTTTTTTCTCTCTCTCCTTCCTCTTCTTGGACACTAATGTACCTGTACTTGGAGTTGATGTGGTTTAGGACATTACAACTGCTAACTTCCCACAGATCATTAGGCCCAGGTTTCTTCCACCAGCATCTTTTCCCTGAGTGCCACTGAGCTTGGAGGTGTGTATCAGTTCTCAGAGAACACACTGCATCCCTACCTCTCCACTTCTATCAACACAAGACCCCAGGGATATGACAAGTGTGCAGTTTTAGAATTGAGGGATATGAGGAGGAAGCCATGTCAGTCTTTTTCATTTGCTCAACGCTGGCCTGAGGCCAGCACAAAGAGACACTTCTCCCCTGCATATCCCACTATTTGGTCTCAAGTGGAGTGCCACACATCAAGCCTTCAGCAACAAGGCAGTGGAAAGCCTTTGATATAAATCCCAAGGTGCCCAAGGAACAGTGTGAAGTTCAGAGTAGGAGGCTCTGCCTCCGAGTCTCAGCTATGCATGAATGTCCTGCCAAAAATGTAAAGTGGGTTTAAAAGAAACAATCCAGATGCTTTTGAGCTTGTTTTGATTTTCTACATGACAAAACACTGGTGTGTGTGTGTGTGTGTGTGTGTGCGTGCTCACAGTGGCAGGTAGAAGGGTAATTTGTAGCTTTCTATTTTGGGCAGAACACTAGATCTTAACAACAACATTATGCCCATTGCACTCCTCTTTCATAAGAAACAAATCATGAGAAGGGAGACTCTTCAAATATTTTGTGAGCACTCATCTCTTCCAACTACCAAGTCATATTTACAGACCCTTTTTAACTCACTCTTGTGTGTCACTCAAAAAAGCACAGCTGCCTAAAAAGTCATTGATCTCAGCTAAATTGATGAGCTTGTGGTGCAGAGGGGACTCACCCCCAGGCAGCACTTCTCTGGGTCACTGCTAGCTTGGTGCTGTCACAACTGTGCCATCTCCATGGGTCAGGGACAAATACTTCAGGGCAATAACAGTTGGCTTCTTGCATGATTGGCAGGAAGCTTTTGGCAGCTTGAGCCTTTCTCCCATAGGGACAGAAGGATGGAGTAAAAGTACTCATGTTTGCAGTCAGTGAGGCCCACCTTATAATCCATGAGGAAGCTACTTATCGCCTGTGGCTTTGACTTTCATCTATGAAATTGAGAGTAACAAGATCTACCTTGGTGTGTAGAATATATGTAAAGTTTCACCAGGGCCTTCTTCAGTGGGTAGCACAAGGGAAACACAAGGTAATGCCTTCCCTTGTAGCACAGCTGAAACCGAGGGCAGTGAGAGAAGCAACCAGGCCATTTCTGCAGATGTGTATTTGATGGAGATGCTGGGCTCCTTTCTGCAGTAGGCATTCTGTGAACGCCGGGGTTGATTGACTCTCCACCCCAGAGAGAGCACTCTGGAGTCTGAAAAGTGGCTTACGTAAAGCTGGCTTAAACATCAAATATGTCTTTTCAATCTGATTAAATATGGCTTTTCAATCTTTTGCCTTCAGCTTCTTGAAGGGGCTGATCATTTCAATGTGTTGTGAAACTTTCTGAACTCCCAATTGGATGTGATGCAAAGGCTTTCTACTCTCTCCTCCCTACTCCTCCCCTTTGTTCATCAATAAAATTCGTAGTTGTGACTGGGAAGAGTGAAAATAAGGAGCCCTTGGCAATACACCATATTTTGGGTCCACTGCCGTATGCTGTTGTCTGACTTGCTGGCTTGTAGCCACAGTTTCAGAGCATGGGAGAAGAAAAAAGAGTTATCAGGCTAGAGATATTCAGCTATTGGGATATTTGTTGAACCTTTGAGATAATCTCCATGAATGGTGTTCCATGTCTCCTAGACCAAATCATTGATACTCAGTTACACTTTGTGTACATGCTAGTTAAGATCCTACTTTTTTGGCCAAGTCCTTTTTTAAACACATTTTCTTTTGTGATAGCAGAATTTTAACCCAGCTACTACCATATCAGAGAAGGTGACTGCTCCAAAGTGGTTAAACTCTGAAATATTCTTTAAAATCTGTGATTTCATAGCTGTTTGAAAATGTTAGACACATAGTTTTTTTTCCTGATTTTTTTCCCTCTGAATTTATCATTCATTCCTTATAATGAAGATTAAAATTGGTAAAGCATGATCTCCTTAGGCATTAGTAAATAAACAAGTTTCCCAAAATGCCCTACCAGTGTTCATTGCTCAAGGTCACAACCATTCTATGTCCACACCTATCCCTTCGAAGTCAGAAAGGAAGCATGACTTAGGGCTATGACGCCAGCACTTGTAGGCTGTGGATCTCTAGCAATGGTCAACAATAAAGTGATTTTGTTTAAAAACAACTCCTTATGCTTCAAACTTCATTCAAATAGGGTTGCGAAGTTCAACAGCCAGGTGAGAGTTGGCATAAAGCCTCATCTCGGGCAAAAGGGTCCTTCTCTCCCTCTTACACCAATGTTTCCATGACAGGGACAGTATGAACAGGCCAGTCTCAGCAGAGCATCCAAGCCTTAATTTGGCTTTTCATGTGTGCCTCTGTGGCTTCCAGTCAACCCAAATTGTCACCTGTGATGCTGCAAAGACTACAAGGACTATTTCCTTTTTGCTGCCTCTCTCCTTGACCTTCTAAAGTGGTCAGTGCACTCCTACCCCACTTAATATCACCGATTGGAAAATGCCAAGGAAAAAAAAAGGACGACGTGGATAGTCTCCATTTGGACAGACGCGAAGACAAAGAGATGTCCAAATCAAGCCGTGTCCAGCGAGATGGCCAGAGGTTCTCAGCATGGCCCAACTTCTCCATGCTAATGCAATGGAAGGTCACAAAGAGGAGCCGGCAGGGGGTCACCATCTCACCACTTGGCTATTGTAGTCCTCGGTGACAGTGCCCTCTGTGGCTCCATCCTCTTTGGGCCACCGGTGGGCCCTGTGCTCCCGCTGCAGCCTCCGATCTTCCCTCCTCTTTTGGCGGTGCCTCTGGTGCTCCAGCTGCCTGGTGTGGTGGTAGCGCTGCTGGAAGAGGTCTTTGGCATACTCGTAGAGTTGCATGTCTAGGAAGTTGATCTCCTCGATGCGCTGCCGGCCGCCCTCGTTGATCTCCACGTTGGAAGCCCGGGTGATGTTGAACTGAGTGAAGGGGGAGATGAACTTGAGGTTGAATGTCCTCTCAAAGAGAAACTGTGTCTTCCTCTGGAATTCGGTCAGCCCAAAAAAGGCCATGTTCTTCAAGTTGTTCTTAGCACTCTGCAGCAGGATGGCATTCCTTTCACTCTCGTTCATGAAAGTCAAGTTGTAACAGCCCACCAGGCTGAGGTCCGCCAGCATGCGCACCTGCCGGTTGTTGGCCAGGTTGTAATTGCAATCCATGAACTCCCGCAGGCTGACCCCGGACCAGTCGTCCCCAGGGTAGCAGGTGGGCAGCTCATCCGGGGTGGGGCTCCTTCCATCACACATGTGGAGAGAGGTTTTCCACGTGGCCCCTCTCTGGACGTGTTTCCACTCGCTCAGGTAACGTGATACTGGATCTCGCAGCATTGTGATGTAGTAGAAGTTTCTGGAAGAGATGAAAGGCAGAGTGTCAGCAGTGGACAATTCTAACACTGGGACTCTGAACCTCTGTGATTCTGCATCAGCACTGAGTCAATGGGCTCTTCTCCCAAATGCTCAAGGGGGATCCCTTGCCTGAATTGCAACTGTCAGGTGTATGTGTGCATGTTTCCATTGTGACACCAGCTTTTTTTATTATTATTGTTTTATTATTCATATGTGCATACAAGGCTTGGGACATTTCTCCCCCCTGCCCCCACCCCCTCCCTTACTACCCACTCCACCCCCTCCCTCTCCCCCCCACCCCCTCAATACCCACCAGAAACTATTTTGCCCTTATCTCTAATTTTGTTGAAGAGAGAGTATAAGCAATAATAGGAAGGAACAAGGGTTTTTGCTGGTTGAGATAAGGATAGCTATACAGGGAGCTGACTCACATTAATTTCCTGTGCGTGTGGTGACACCAGTTTTTAATATTAAGTTTGTTGATCTTCTTCCCACTTAAGAGTAGAGAGGGATAAGATGGGGAAATGGATCATTTATTCATTCAGCAATCATTCACTTAAAAAACACCATTGGCAATATTGTCTCACATTTAGAGAAATCGCCATGATTTAAAAAACTTGTTACCCATCTGATATTTTATTTGATTCTTACAACAAACTTTTATAGTGGAAAGGGCAATGTTGAGGAGAGAAACATGCAAAGAGGTGAAATGATTTATCCAAGGTTATGGGACTAGAAAGAGCAAGAGCACAACCCAACTCTCCTTCATCTTTTCCCTGTAGTTTTTATTTTTGGCAGTGCTGAGGTTTGAACTCAAGGTCTTGGCACTTGCTAGGCAAGTGGACTACCATTTGAACCACACCCCCAACACTTTTTGCTTTACTTATCTTTTTGACAGGGTATTGAGTTTTGAGTGTTTTGCTCAGGGTTACAATCCTCCTACCTATGCCTCTCACTTAGCTGCGATTACAGGTATACATATCAACACCGCTGGCCTGTTTGCTGAGATAGACTCTCACTATCTTTTTGCCCAGGCTGGCCTTGAACTGTGATTCTCTTAATCTCTACCTTCCAAGGAGCTGGGATAACAGTCATGAGTTATAGTACCTGGACAATTTTTTCTCTGCTTATTGCTATTCTGGACTAAGAAGTTGATGGGGTCAGAGAACAGTAATGCCTGCTCTACCCTTATCACCAGGAGTGTTCAAGCAGAGCCTGGAGGCCTATTTATCACAGAAGCCATAGAAAGGACACCACAGAGGAGCAGGCTGGACACCAGGCCTCCAAACTGTCTTTCCAGTTCTGAGTTATCCCTTTGCCCTTCCACAGAAGTCACTTGTATTCCAATTCGGTTCCCGTCCTGTCTTTACTCTCTAAACAAACCCACTCCAGAAATCTAGGGTTAATCATACTAACCTGGAGTTTCCCTGGAGACACAAAAGTGCTTCTGAAATGCTCTGAAAAGAAGCCCAGGCCTGTCCTGTCACCTGTACAAGTGACTGGGTGTTGCAGAGACTCCTAGAACCAAGGCTGGAGCTGGGTTTGTCTGGGTGCTCCCAGGTGGTTACAGTGTGGAGAGCACTATTGTCAGCATCCCTGCCCTCAACTTGGCACCCAGGGGGTGGGGACATAGCTAGGTCACTTCTGCTGGGTTCATCTTAGTGTCTGCTCTTTAAAAAAACCTCACACTAAAATAAACACATGCATATTTTGATAGACAGAGAGAGAGAGAGAAAGAGAGAGAGATGATAGACAGGGAATCTGTTGAGGGATGACTTTTGTTTTCACTGCTTCATGTCATATTTTGTCAAATCTCTGTTATCAAGCGCTTGTAAGTATTATTCACCTGAATCATTCCTTATTTTGCACTTAGAAGTAAGTGACAATGTGTCTGACCCTGTATTTTAATCAAAGGATATTTTAAGCTGCATGAAAAAAATTTTTAAAAATAGAGGGGTTTGGAAGTCATCCTGCCTCCTTCAGTCAAACAACATGCACCTCTACCGAGGTGGGTGCGCAGGTCCTTGTCTTGCTAGGCAAGTGCTCTACCACTTGAGCCATGCCCCCAGCCCTTCATCTCTGTTTCTTGTATCACATGGAGGCCAACACATCAGAACAGGTTCAAAGCTGAAGAAAGCTGTTTTCTCACCCACTCCAAAAATCACATTTGATGTGGACACTTTGCCATTGCTTTAAAAAGAATGATGAAAAGGCTGGGGGTATGCCTTAAGTGGTAGAGTGCCTGCCTAGCAATTGTGAGGCCCTGAGTTCAAATCCTGATACCACAAAAAGAACAGAACTGAAAATAAATGAAATGAAAAGCAATGGTGAAGAGAGAAGAGGAAAAAGGAAAACCATGTCATATTTTGGCTATGTGTATTAACTGAGTGTTAATGAAGACAGTGAGAAGTTCAACAGAGAAGCTAACCCACTGGAAAAGAACTCATTCCTAATTCTCTGGGGAAGAGTACCTGCAGGTGCTCAAAAATACACCAGGGGAGAACAAATTATTGGAGGTGTGTCTTCAATTTAATGCAGATACTTCATTCAAGTCATTTGATTATTCCTATAGCACTTGTGAAAAGTACTTTTTGGGATTTGAGGGCAAAAGTTTTCTAATTTTGTCTAAATTGCAATGATGACATTTTTTATTTAGATAAACTTACTGAAAAGCTTCAACACCCAAAGCTTTCCCCCATAGACTAGCTCCCAAGAGCCATGATGTTACATACAGCCTTGCTCAGTGGCAGCCATAGTGCTAAGGCTCTAGCCCATTTCCACACCCCATGAGCTGTGTGTACATTCCTTATTTGCTTCACTTAGTATTGAATAAACTAAGAACTTGAGGAGATGAAGTAACCTTTCTAAGGTTACGCCCATAGTAACCTGCAGAACTTGGATTTAATCAGCTCTGACTTAATTCAAAAGAACTTTTGATTTTGCTTTGCTCTGGTTTTAGATCATGAAGACAAAAATTCTTCATACCATAGCAGATATTCACCCTGGTACTTTTTCTACATGGCCAAACTAAACTGGACAGGAAAAAAAAAACACATACCACTAAAAGTAATGAAAAAATAAGGTCACATACAAGAGAGGGAGGGTAAAAGAAGGAAGTTAAGAAGGAGAATATGGTTGATATACTTTCTATACAAGAATGAATATAGAATTTTTAAACCTGTTGAAGCCACCGTAAGAAGGGAGCTATGGTAGAATGAAGAAAAATAGAGGAGATGAACCAATTCAAGTTATAATATATATGCATGGAAATGTCATTAGGAAATTCCCTGCATAGCTATCTTAAACAAAAAGATGTCCTTTTTGTTCATTTACAAAATTGGAGAAGAACAGGGTGGAACAGATCCTGTCTCGGATGTGGGGAGGGGATGAAGTTGGTAGCAGTAGAGAGATGAAGTGGGGAAAGGTCATGGAGGAGAACATGGTGCAAACACTGTGTACACATGTATGTACATGGAACAATGAGACCTGTTGAAACTGTTCCAGGAATTGAAGGGCAGGGGGGATACAGGAGAATGGTGGAGGGAGTGAATTCAAGTATGATATATTGCAAGAACTTGTGTAAATGCCACAATGTACCCCACCCAGCACAAGAAAAAAACACAAAAAAGATGAGTGTTTCTATTCTTCTTTTAAAAAAGAACTGATGAACCCTATTATTTCAAAATACTCTGTTGTTTTGAATGTATAGACTCACCACTACATAAGCAGACAGTTTTTAAACTCAAAATCTTAAGTAACACTCACTTCCCTTTACATCAGAGGAAGAATTTATTGAAACTGCCAAGAACAACACAGCCTGAGTCCTCATTTGCCAGTCATCATTTTATATCACACTGTTGTCTTTGAATGTGAAGGAATGTGAATTTCAGTGGTGGAAGAAAATGTCCTAAAAGGTCAGTAGGAAAAGCAGGAAACAGTTGTCATGGCTTCTGGGCTCCATGAAGAGAACATTTTCCATGGAGTGAATGTCACTATTGCTGGACACAGAGGCAAGGCTGCTGTTGATCCTGCTTTAGTCCTACCTGAGGACTTACTCGTGCTCTAATTCTGAAGAAACTGATTTTCTTTTCATAAAAAAATTACATAATCAATATAATAAATACATTAATGATAATGATGATGACATAACTCAGTGGGTTAAGGATACCCAACACATAGGGCAAAAGACTTTAAATCAGAAGAATCTTTAAATTGGGTCAAATTAGACCACAATGGAAAATTTCCAAATTCCCTGTTATTTGGAAAAAATAGAATATGTACAAAAGGATTTAAACAGCACCAACAAAAAAGCCAACAACCATCAATTGTTAAGTCTCAGTCTCATTGATGTGCCTCAAATTTTACATGATCCAGATTTTTAAAATAACATTAAGATTTGGAGGTTTTTGGAGCTATGAATTATGAAGTTTGGTGACATAAATATTGAATCTGGTGGAAAAATGAAGCTACTGTCTCATTTGGGAAAACTGGACATAGAGCTTCTAGTACCTCTGTTCTAGTGAGGATCGACATGACTTTAAAACTGACTGAAAATGCTTTAAACTTCAAATGGTCTTGGATTCAAGTTTAACTTTATTTCATTTAACATCACAGTTAACAATACCTAGTGAAATTATAGGGTGATGTCGTATGAGCGAAGTAAGTCCCAAACATCTTTGAGTTCTACTAACCAAAGGAGTCAACACATAAGCAAACTCCAACATCACATTGCCAATGGGACATAATGCTGACAAATACAAGTTGTCCCAGCTCAAGGTTCTGGATTCAATTAGCATTTGAGAATTGCTTTTTGGTACTGAGGGTTAAAGTCAGGGCCTTGCACTTGTAAGGCAGGTACACTACCACTTGAGCCATGCCTCCAGTCTGAGAATTTCTTTAATAACACACATTCTCATGTGTATTTTAGTTTCTAATCAGAAAAGTAATCACAATACTAAAATAGAAAAATAGTAAAAATAAACCAAGGGTTGAAGAACTC